GCGGCAGCGGGGTTTGGGGCTAGGCTGCCCCTTGCAGCAAAGCTGTGCCCCCCAGACACTCTTACAGAGGAGTTTAAACCCTTTTCTATGCAGCGAGACCTCAGGTCATGGCTCAGGACTGGTTCCTCCTCTCTTGATTTTCTCCTCTGCAGAAACCACAGAGGCAGCTCCGAGCCCTTCTCCCAGTTCAGGGGGCCCAGGGTGAGGGTCCCCCCTGAAGCTGAGCCCAATTCCTGTGTGGAGGGGCTGCGCCAGCCCCCGCAGTGCAGCACTGAGGAGTTCAGTGTCGAGGCGGGGAAAGCAGCTCCCCCCCCCCCCGCCTGCAGCTGCTGCAGGATGTGGGCGATGCTGCTGCACCCCCGGTTTTTGAGTTTGCTGGGGGTGGGGAACTGCTGAGAGCAGGGACCAGCACCCAGGGAGCACAATGCAGGGCAATGTGAGGGGCTCAGCACCCATCTGAGCTCCCCCCTGGCGTGACCCAGGAGCTCATCCCTGCTCGGGGAGCCGTGGGCTCAGCCCGGGTCTGTAGTGCACAGTGATCTTTGCTGGATCAGTTCCCTTTCCGCATTCGCGGTTCCCCATTGTGAAGTAGGGGAGGATTTGGTGCCTCGGCGCCATTGTTTTCCATGGATGTGGAGGGACCGCGTGGCCATGGCAGGGGGGGGGGCGGGGGGGGCGCCCTCCCCCTGCACCCAGATCACACCCAGTTTGGGCAGATTTGCCCCCGGTGGAGCCAGGTTTGGTTTGGGGCCGTTGGCTTCCCCAGGCGCCCCTGCCCTGCGTCCTCCCCTGCAGACGGCGCTGCCGTCGCCTCACCTGCCGCAAGTAGAGCTTCAGGACGTTGCTGATGTCGTGGGGGGAGGCCTGCGACAGCTCCACCAGCTCCTTCCCATTCTCAAAGGCCTGGCAGAGCTTCTCCACACGGGTCTTGACGCCGTTCACCCGGTAAATGCCCTGGGAGAGGAAAAAGCGGAGCTGAGTGAAGGGAGGTGCTGTGTGGGGGGGGGACAGGGAGCTTCCAGCTCCCACCCGCTCCTTTTGAGGCTGGAAATCCCTCTCCGAAGCCATTCTGGGGCATCCCCTGCCAGCTCAGCCGTCACTGTCACTCCTGCTTCAGGAAAGAGGGAGAGAAGGGAGTTTTGGAGCTCAGAGTTTGGGGTATCAAGGCTGAGTTCACCACCCGGAACTTTCTGTCTTCCTGCCCCCAGTGAGCTGCAAAATGAGCCCTGGTTTTCACACCAAGGCAGAGACACATTTCAAGAGAAGAAGAGGGGAGAGCGAGCGGTCACCTTGGTTTTCAGCGCCCGCTTCTCAATCTCGGAAATGCACTTCTTGACAATGAAGGGGATGCCGTCAGAGCTGCCCTGTGACGCCTTCGTGAAGTCTTGCCCGAAAAGCTGCAGCTTCCCCTGGAGCTTCTTGTGTCCGCACTGGATGGCCAGGGTTTCCAGGCACTTCTTGTGGCAGGCCAGGCAGCACTGGAAAACACCGGGAACAGCTCAGGGGTGGGAGACAACCCTGTGGGATGGGTGGGAGGTGGCCCCTGAGACCCCGGGCATCCCTCGGAGCACAGGCTGAGAGGGACACAGGCAGGAACAACCCTTTTTGGAGACCCTGCAGGAGCAATGAACCCCTCCCCAAAGGAGGAGTCTCCCTAATCACAGGTCAGAGCTGGGGCAAGGTTGTCCTCTGCTTCCACAGAGACCCCAACCCCCTGGCTGTGGTGACACCCATGGCTTGGGCCACGTCTGTGTCAGGGCTCGTGGCTGGTGTCTGCTGTGAGCCCACAGCACCTGAGGAAAAAGCCACACCACGACGTGCAGAGTGTGTGACTCCCATCTGGGCACAGCGCAGACCACAGAGACACACACAGGGAGCGGCGAGGCCACCCCGCTCCTGGGATGTGTCTCCCATCTGTCCCCCACCCTGCGTTACCTCCTCGCACTCCGCTCCCTGGAAGTAGACGTAGCTGTTGCACTCCCGGCACTTGGACGGGGCACGCAGCTTCCTCAGCCGATGGGTCTGGGCAGCCCTGGACAGGCCAACGTTTCGGAAAGGCCCAGTGGGAGCCGCCATCTCCGGGGGGATCCCATTGATGCCTGCAAGCGGAGCAACCAGAAACGCAGCTGAGCAGGACCCAGAGCCACTGAATTTGGGAAAAGTCAACCTGCAGTTGGCTTTGTCACAGTGTGTGGGAACATGGAGGGAGCCCCGTGTCACCCCCGCGCTGTCACCTACTCTGCTCGAAGGGGGTGGTGCTCTCGTCCCTCTCCTCCAGCTCCTCACTGGAGGATGCAGTGCCATTGGATGACAACCGCTGCAACTTGGGGCTGAATTCACCTGCCAGGAGAAATCAGAGAGCTGAGGGGGACTGGCAGAGCAAAACCATCTGCTGAGCTGCTCCGAGGCTTGTGGGCCATTCCCGCAGTGAGCAGTGTGTGCCTGGCATGGCTGGGGCAGCTTTCTCCATTTTCTGCAGAAAATGAGAAACTGGAAGCTGGCAGGGGCTGTGTGTGCCCATGCAAAGCCTCTCAGGAGAGAAGGCTGCAGCCAGAGGAGTGGGAAAAATCCAGTGGGGTCCCTCATCCCCCTCCCCATCCATCCCATCCCATCCCATCCTGTTGCAGACTGGGATCAGGGGTTTATTTACAGCACTGTTATCACAAGGCAGACAGAAAGGAGAGGTGTCAGGTTCCTCTCAGCCCTGGTGCTGTGTTTTTGGGCTGTAAAGGGGCCACGCTGCCTGCCCGGGGCTGGTTTTGGTACCTGCGCTTGACTCCAGACTGCTGTCAGCTTCGGTGATGGATGTTGGCCAGGATTTGTGGACCTGGTGTCCCCTCCCACCTGCAGAGAACACAAAGCCCTGCTGGGATCGCATCCCGTGGTCAGGAGAGAAACTGGGGTGGAGAGCCCAGACTGGGAGACCCTGCAGTGGTTGCTTGGTTTGCTGGGACAGGGACTGCGATGCCTTCGGTCTCACACCCAAGCCAGGGTGAGGATGGGTGGGAGAAGGGGCTGTGAGGCAAAACCTCATCAATCTGATTTTGTGTTCTTCAGGGAATTCCACCTGCAAAGCTCCAGCCTGTCCTACCGATGCCATGGGAACCCCCATAGCGCCCATGGGGTCCTGCTCCATCCCTGCTCTGCCGCAGGCTCTGTACTTACCTCTGCGCTCGGCCGCCACAGCCCCGCTTTGCTCCTTGGCCTCCGCAACCACCCCGTCCTTGGGCAGCCCGGCCCCGTCGGCGCCTGCAGGGAAGTCGCTGGCATTAAAGCTGCCTTTCCGTGTCCGAGCAAAGGGAGACCTGGAGGGCAGGAGGGAGGAGAAGGTGGTGCCAGCCCGGGAGAAGGTGAGTGAGAGCAGGAACAGCTCTCCCAGTCCTCTCGTACCAGGCATTGTGGGACACGTAGGGCTCGAAGTCGTATTGGGTGTCGGGCTCGTCCCCGCGCTGCAGCTGCCGGACGTGGGAGGCGTATTGCTGCCCCGGGTCGTACAGCTTGCTGCTCTCGCACAGCGTCTGGAAGTTGACGGGCAGCGGGGCCGTCTGCATGTGCATGATCTGGTAGAAAGAGATGGTGGCCTAAAACAGACACAGGGAAAATCAGAGTTGAGCTTTGTGAGGTGATGTGTGCCGGAGGAGCTCCAGGTTGGATGAGAACTGAGGAGCAGGGAGCAGTGCTTAGGCTGCAGCCTCGAGCCCTGGATTTTCAGGGGGACAGCTCTGACCTCTCCTGAGCAGGGCATGGCTCCCCCTGCCCTGGGGACCCCCCGAGCCAGCCCCACTCACCATCTTGATGACCTGGTCGCTCTGTTTGATCACTTCATGGATCTGCCGCAGGGAGTTCACCTTGGTGTCCTCCAGCTCCTGCTTCTGGGTGTTGGCATCTGCCACGCAGGTCCGGTACGTGGCCATCGCCTCCTCTGCCTGGCGGGGAGAGCAGGGGATGGAAACTACCCATAGGTGAGGAGGACAGGAGCAGCAAGGGATGGAAACCACCCACAGATGAGGAGGACAAGGAGAACAGCTCTCTGCACTGGCCCCCATCCCTCTAGGCGTTCCCACTCTGTGCCCTGGGATCCCTGGGATCAGTGTGCTCAGCTCTGGCTGTCCCGGTGCTCAGGCATTGAGGGGTGAGCAGGTTCCTGATCCGCAGCCAGCGCCTGGAGCGGCCGTGGTCCTACCTTGTTCTTGGCCTCCTCCTCCAGCCGCCTCTTCTTGTCCAGGGTTTTGGTGGCGCTGGCCGTGCTCTGCTGCTCCTCTTCCGCTTTCACTGCCACGTACTTGGCCTTGTCGTGCTCCTCGCTGCGCTGCATGTAGATCTGCTTGGCCTTGCGCAGGTTCACCTCCGCCTCTTGCTGCCGATGACAGCAGGGACTGGGTGAGGCTGAGCCCTGCAGGGGATCATTACCCCCCACCCCAGCTCCTCGGGTCCCTTTCCTGGCCCCTAGTTTCTCCAGTGTCCCCCAACGCTGCTGGAGGGGGGTGAGGAGCTGAGCATCCTGACAGGGTTCGGTGCCGGGGGTGCCAGGGTGGGCTCAGGGGGTGCAGACCCAGCTGTGCTGTGGGTTGGGCACTCACCAGCTTCCTCTGCGCCCGGTGCCACTGCTCCTTGATCTCCTTCCTCCGCTTCTCATGCTCAAGGCGTCTCAGCGCCAGCGGCTGCATGGGAGGGAGAAAGAACCCCCTGAGGCTGAGCGGCACTCGTGGCTCTTCCCTTCACAAAGACTTTGCAAGGAGAAGCTCCTGCAGCCACTGCCATCATGGCCCAGCACATCTGGGCTGGGTTAAGGGGCAGGGTGGTGGCACGGTTGAAAATCCACATCCTGGGAAGTGCAGGTTCCCTCCCGGCCCAGCCAAGCAGAGCCACCCTGGCCAGGACAGACACGGGTCCCCTCTGGAGAGTGGGGAGAGGGGCACAGCTCGGTCTGTGCTGCAGGGGGAGCGTGGGGACGCAGAGCATCCTCTGATGAGGGTGACGGGGGGGCATTAAGGAGGTGTTTCTTGAGGTGTCAGACTGGGGGGTTTCTCCTAAACCCTGTGCCTGACCCCCCAAAGGACCTGGCAAGTGGCTGGGCTTGGGCTCACTGATCCACCAGTGCCAGGGCAAAGCTGGCGATGCTGAGTCCCAGCAGTGCCTGAGCCCAGCAGCAGCTGCATCCCGGGTTCTGGACGAGGCCACCAGCCCCCCTCGCTGCCCGGCCGAGGGGAAGACCCCCCCGACCCCCCCTGTCCTCACCTGCAGGAAGGTTTGGTGTTGCAGGGTGCTGGCTGCCTGCAGCATCGATGTCCCGTGCTCCATGTCCTGCTCCAGCGCCAGCAGGTAGATGGACAGGAAGGGCATGTTGGTCTGAGGAAGGAGAAAACGCGCAGCCCTCAGCCCTGGCACCGCAGTGAACCAAATGAGACGCAGCCTGGGCTTTCACAGGGTCTCAGCATTTTCCTTTGCTTTGGACGCATTTATTTTACCAAGCAAACCGCTCAGGAGAGCTGCACGCCCTCCTCAAAAAGCCAAGTCAAACAAATAGAGCCCCCCAGGGCTGCTTGCCCCTGGTCCCACCTGGGCACCGGGTGGCTTTGGGTGCTCACCTCCTGGCTGAGGGTCTGCTTGCAGCTGTTTGCCATCTTCTGCAGCCCTTTGGCAAACTCCATCTCTGGAAGAAAAGGGTTGGGAGTGAAATGACAGAGGAGACACTGAGATTTCCCGGCCAACGGGGTTCCTTTTGAAAACACATCAGGAACCTCAGGAGTGAAGTTGCCCCCCCTGCCCTTGCAATGTTGGACTCCCACAGCCCCCTTGGTTGTAGAGGACCTTGGCTGGTTCTGGTGCTGCTGTGAGGACCCCCCTGTCTCACCCAGCATGGTCCTTTTCTCCAGGTACCCGATGAGGTCCTTCATGTACTTGGAGATGTTTTTCGCATACTGGAGGGCAGCGTCCACTCCCCCCTCACAGCGCTGCAGCATCACATCCACCTCCTCGGGGGGAGAACGGCCTGGGGGGGATGAGAGGGGAGATGTGGGGGGAAAGAGGGGACTCCGAATGTTCACTGCCCCCGTGGTGGGGAAGCAGAAGGCACCGGCTGGGTACCCCCCCCCAAACCCTGCCCCGTGCCTGCCTGCTCACCCGCATCGTAGCTCTCCATGCCTGGAGGCATCCCATCCCCGCCAGGCCCGGGGATCCCACTGTAGAGGCTCTCCATGGTCTGTGGGAATGGGGAAAGAGAAGGGACCGAGTGGGGAAGGGGAAGGGGAGCGCTGGAGGGGCTGATGGATGGATTGGGGGCAGAAATGGGGCTGGTGGAGCAGCTGAGGGTCTGTGGTGCCCAGCCTCGACCCTACAGCAGGCTGGGAGCTGACAGGAATGGCGCTGGAGAAAGCCTTTATGCAAACATCGGACCAGGGCAGAGCTGAGCAACCAGAGCCTTGATGTCTGTGGGCAACGTTGCTCCATTCCTTCCAGAGCCACCCCCTGCCCTTTGGATGGAGTCCCCAGTGGTTTTCCCCTCCTGGGGGCAGTGGTGAGGACAGGAGCAAGCAGAGGACGCCCACATGCAGCTCAGATGGGCCTGGGGGGGAGCTGGGAATCCCACGGCTGGGGGGGGGGGCG